CAGTGTCCTGGACATGGACCTATGTGTCCACCCACATCTGCTGCAGATGATAGCTTCAAGGCAGAGACGACACGACTCTCCAAGCTGTTCATGAAGAAGTCAAAGTTTTGGGGGCTCATGGAGTCCAGAGTGCCCCCCCCTGGGGTAGTGCTTAGGCTGGGTCCTGTGAGTGTGTCCAGCTTTGCTCCTCTCATCCCGCCCAGCCCTGCATCTCAGAGTCACTGTTTCACCCAGGTCACAGACAGGAACCTGGAGAGCAGCAGAGACAAGAAGGAACTGGGTGCTGAAACTCTGCAGGGTGGCTGGAGTGACTCAGCCCTGCACACCACGAGGGTCCTTTGCTTTCTGTGTGGGGTCTGGTTCTAGAAGCAGGTTGTCGTGGAACGGCACACACTCCTAAGTGACATTGCAGAGTCCTATGGGACCTGGGACGCTGGCAGAGGGGAAGGGGAGGGAGACTGTAGAGCCCCCTGAAGGCAGAATGCAGAGTCAGCTCTGGGGCTGGATGCAGCATATGCCACGTAAGTGGTTCCACAAGGAACCGGCTACTTCACCTTCCTCCCGTGGGACCATGGCGCCTCCCAGTCTGCCTGGCACAACAGAAGCAAGAGAGCCAGGGAGCAGCTGAGCAGAGCTGGGTGTAAGGCTGGGGCCCTCCAGCTGCTTGAGGTCATCTGGACTTCTCGGCCACCAACACACACTCGTACCACCCAGGTGCTGCCAGGCACTGAACACCCTGGAGGAGGAGCTGGGCAGACCAGGGATGGGAGGCTGGGAGCTGGTACTTGGTGGGACCTGGTGAGGCCTAGAGCCAGCACCAGACACCCCTCTGCACATCAGGCTCGGGGAGCACAAACAGGAAGGGGCAGCCCCCTCCTGCAGAGAGGCCATCAAGCAAGGTGGCATAGGGACAAAGTGGCATAGGGGTAAGGTGGCACAGGGCAAGGTGGCACAGGGGCAAGAGGTGACAGGGCCACCAGGGACTGGAAATGGGAACACTCATAAAAGGACATCATGGCCTAGTGAGGGATGGCATGGCTTTGGAGACAGGCGAGGACCTCAGAAAGAAAGTGACCGGCTATGTAGAACTCACTGGGCACCAGCACATGGGCACCTCTACCCTCTCCAGGTGCCTCCCGGCCATGTGTGACGGCAGGACAACACCAGCTATGGATGCGGCATCCATGCTGCTCGGTGCCTTGGGTGTGTCTGCAGCGGTGGGTCAGCCTTCTCGGAGACCCTGTGAGGCCGCCTGTCCTTAAGCGAGGGACACCACCTCACACGGCTTCCTCCAGCTTGCTCACCCCTGAACTGAGACTGCAGGTGGTGTCCAGAGCTGAAGACCAAAGACTCCGTGTTGGTGACCCTGTGGGCCAGAAGAGCAGGAGCCCACTGTGGGTGGACATGCTGTGCCAAGGCTGCAGGGGGCAGTGTTGGGATTCAGGATGCTTTGCCCCCTAACGACACCCCGCCATGAGCAGGGTTGGCAGCTGGAGCCACCCATCCAGGTCGGTATTCATCCTTCTGGCTCACCAGCCTCAAAGGCTGGGCTGGACCACAGGGCAGACCTGCTCCAGCAGCTCCAGCTGCCAAGCCAAAGTCAAACGGAGTCCCCCTCCCTGGTCCACATGGCCCTAGAGCAGAGGTAGGAAAGGGAAGTGACCTCACCCAGTACAAAGACTTCTGCTCCCAGCAAAATAGAATGGCCACCTTGGAGTTAGAAGACACCTTGGTCTGAACCGCCACGGCCCCTCATCCACGCACACGGTCTCCAAGGGGGCACTGGGCCCAGTGGCCAGCCCAAGCCCACCATCACCAGGCCTGGGATGGCCCTTCCTGCCTCCTCACCTGCTCCCCGGCCCTGGAGGCTGCTCTTGGCCTCACCGTGTGGTAGAAGGAATGTGCAGTCAGCCTCTGTCCTTCTGCTTCTTCCACAGGAAAACAGAACCGTGGTCTCTGTCTTCCTGGGCCCCTCACCCCCAGTGATGGCCCAGGGAGCTCCATCCATGGGCGACTTGGGAGAAAAGCTGTGGCCACTGTTTCTTGCTGTGTAAGCCTGACCTGGCATGTGCTCCGGGTCGGTATTCATCCCTCTGGCTCACCAGCCTCAAAGGCTGGGCTGGACCACAGGGCAGACCTGCCCTTTCCAGGGGTCCTTCCTGTCATATCAATGTGACAACTCACTGGAGTTGGTGGGTTGGCGGGGAGCGTGTCCCCTGAGGTGAGTGGTGGAATCCAACAGAAGAGGAGATGGATGATGTGCAGGACCCCTGGGTCCCAGGTCCTGTCTGGAAAGGCCGTTCCTCTGGCCGTGAGAACCCTCTGGCCCATCAGCCACGAGCATGGGTCTGTTTTACCAGAGCTGCGTGGTGCTGGCAGGCAGGTACTGTCTTCCTGCTCACAGTGCCAGGGTCAGCCAGGAGGACTCAGCCTTCTGTCCACATGCCTCACACTGACCAGCGCACACCCTGACCCCAGCAGTGCTGTGCACAAGTCTGGCAGGAAAGTGCAGGGAAGGCCCGTGTGAGCAGACTACGCTGAAGCTGCCCCCCCAAGAGACAAGGCCAGCCGCTCGGTGGTTTTTACTTTTCAGATGGTCATATTTTAAAAGAAATAAGCAAAGTTGATCTCAATTAATATTTCATTTTATTTAACCTTATGTACCCAAACTATTACTTCAACATGTGACCAACACGGCAAGATTATCCAGGAAATATCTTCCCTTATTTTTTTAATATATATTTTTTTAGTTATAGTTGGGCACAACATCTTTATTTTATTTATTCATTTTTATGTTGTGCCGAGAATCAAACCTGGTGCCTTGCAAGTGTCAGGCGAGCGCTCGCCCGCTGAGCCCCAGCCCAGTCTCTTCCCTTATTTTTGTGTGAAGTCTTCAACATCCCCTGTGTGTCTCTTGCTCCTGGCACTTTTTCGTCAGCCGCAGGCCTGTCCTAAACTCAGTGGCCACGTGGGGCAGAGCTGGGCTGGGGAGGCAGGGCAAGAACCTCCCGGGGGCAGCTCTGACCTGCGGGAGATGTCCACGTGGGGACTCCAGCACACTGCCCAGGGCGCGTTGGTCTTTAGATGTTCTCCATGCGCCCTTCAGCAGGGGTGTCAGGCACTGCTTTGCTTCCGACTTGGCCCCGAGGCTTCCCTGAGGTTCCCCTCACTCGGGGCCCAGGCTGTCCTCCTCCCTGCTCACTTTGGCCTTTCCAACCTGGTCTTCAAGTGTGCACAGCCCCCTCCCCAGCACCAAGGAGGAACCCACAGTTTCGTTTCTATACCAGAGACCCTCCCCACCTTTCTATTGGGTTGTCCTGACCTCTGACCCCATCATGACGTTGTCTGTCCTGCGCTCCTTCCACAAGCCAGGCCTCTGGGGCCTGGAAGGTCCTCTCACAACCAACAGTATGATCCCCACCGTATTGCTTCTTCAGTGAGTTCTGTTCACAGTTCAAAGTAAACTTGTCAAATCCCTCCAAACACTCATCTGGAACGTTCCAGTCTTTGCATACTTAGCTTAAGTTGGCTCCTCGAAATCCTGTACTTTTGGTTGCCGTTATGAGACATAACTTTTTGTTTGATGCCAATCAAATGCCCCGCCCCAAAATTCATGTCGAAGCCCTGATTCCCAGGACTTCAGAATGCGACTGCAGAGATGGGCTTTTTTTTTTAATATTTATTTTTTAGGTGTAGATGGACACAATTCCTTTATTTTCTTTTTTTATGTGGTGCTGAGGATCGAACCCGGCCCCCACCACTCCCTCATGCTAGGCGTCTACCGCTGATGGGCTTTTTGAAGGGTAATTAAGATGTAAAGTTGGGGTCCCTGATCCAGTGACTGGTGTCCTGATACACATGCAAAGGGATGGCCATGTGAGGACACAGCAGGAGGAGGGCGTCTGCAAGCCAGGAGAGGGCCGGGGACCAGGCTGGAGCACACTGAGCTGGGGCCTTAGCTCCAGGGCTGGGACAGAACAGACTTCCAGTTGGGCCCCGAGGTGTGTGCTTTACTGTGGCAAACAACTCCCTGCTCCTGGAGGGGCAAGTGTATGCCCAGGACTGCTTGCTCTCTGCCTGAGTGTGGGTGGACACAGAACCACGGGATCCTGAGGGGCTCCCTCTCAGCATCAGGGCACCTGGAGAACTGGCCAGCTCATCAGAGGATGGTTAGAACATCATTCAGAACAAAGAACTCACCAGGAACCTCCTCAGGTGCCTCCAAAAGGCAGCAACGTCCCTCAGGTGTGGTCTCTCTCCCTGGCTGCAGAGTGCCTGGTAAGCCAGGTGCTATCTCCATGTGGAGGACGCCCTGGACAGCAACATGTGTTGAGCATGTTAACCTCACACACCCACCGAGCGACCCAAAGCCCCAAACCCAGGAGCCGCCCAGGAGGCCTGGCGATAGTGGAAAGAGGCCCCGGGTTTGGGGCCGCACAGAGCCCTAGCACTCAGGTGGCTCCCTGAAGCCTCTCTCCAAATGCAGGGCACTCCCTATCCCCAGGAGGTCAGGAGAGGCCTGCCAACCCCACCAACACGCTTACACATTCTGACTCCAAGGTTGATTTGATAGAGGAAAGTGACATCTACACTTCTCTCTCATGTGTGGCGAAAACTTCACGCTTGCACTCTAATGAATGGGACAGGATGAGGGGCCAGGCTTGGTGGTGAAGCTCCTCAACCATGAAGCTAAACAAACACCCGCAGATTTGACTCCCTCAGGTGAAAGCTTCTGGGGCAGCCTTTGCTCTGCAGGGTCCCAGGGACTCTATACGCTGGGCTTGTCTGGGAGCCCTGCTGTGGCTCCCACATCACCCAGGGCTGCGCCGGAGCCCCCCAGGCAGAGCTGCCCTCCTGTCGGGCAGGCACCCTGTGGCCGTCGCCTGGCTCTAGCAGGCTGCAGAGGCCATGTCCAGACTGTGCTCTGGGCTCCTGCCTGCGTTCAAGTGCCATCGCCCCAACAGGCCTCCGGGATCCAGCAAAAGCCAAAACAGACAGGCTGGCATTTTTAAAAAGGCTTTATTAAAGGCAATTAGTATAAAATATAACCAAGTTACACATTATAAGAACTCATCATCTCTGAAAATGTGTATCAAAGGAAGGAGGACCAAAGGGAGGCCGCTCCACAGGCCACACCCAGGCCGGAGGGCCAGGAGCAGGCCCATGACACTGACCCTGGTTCTGATGTCCTGGAGGACTTCTGCAGAAGTAGTGAGAGCAGGACGCTGGTCCTCAGCCGAGCCCCGGGTGTGGGGCCAGTGTACTGGGGAGTGTGCTCACAAGCTCCTGCTTTGACAGACCCACCTGGAGTCTGGGGGAGAAGCACGTGGAAACGGGGAGCTTCAACCCGGGGGAGGGAAAGTCACCTCTGCACCAACCACCCATGTGGGGGACAGTCACCAATCAGGCAGGATGGGGACTGCACTTCTCCCGAAGGCAGAGCCAACAGCGCGAGACCCCTCAGGACTCCCCGCTCTGGCTTCCACTCACTCCTGGGGGGCTGCCCCCCAAGAGTAACTAGAGGTTGCAAGGCTGGGACAAAGGGATCAAGAGCATGGAGTCCTCAGTGGCTCCACCCCTCAGTTCTGAGAACAACCTGAAGGGAATGTCGAGATTCACAGGAAAGTGGGAAAGAAATGGGGACTTCTGGCAAGGAGAGAGAGGGATTGCCGACCAGGCGTGCCAGCAGGAGCCCTCTCTCTGCTGCCCACACCAGTGAGCCCAACCCATGGCAAGGAGCACCCTGGCCTCCAGCTCAGCCACCACCCTAAGGCGGAGATACAGGCAAGCGGGGAGGCCGTGGATTCCCTGTGTGACAGCGCTGGCCCCTGGGGGGCTGGCGCCCAGCTGGGATGAACTGGCATGGACGCTTCAAGAATGCTCATGTGGGGGCTGGGATTGTAGCTCAGTGGTAGAGCGTTTGCCTAGCATGTGTGAGGCACTGGGTTCAATCCTCAGCACTACATAAAAATAAAGAAATAAAATAAAGATACTGTGCCCATCTACCACTAAAAAAATATTAAAAAAAAAAAGAATGCTCACATGTTACAGAGGGATGTCTACCTGCCACACTGCAGTGAGGGACCAAAGGAGGGAGGTGAAGCCCACACCCCGGGGCACCCAGCAAGGGTGGGAACCAGCAGAGTTGCTAGCCATGGCTTTGGCAAAGATTTTCCTGGGGGTGGAGGCGGTTGGAGTCAGATGATGTCCTGGAGAGTACTTCAGAAGGGCCTAAGAAGCGTGTTTTTTAAAAAAGCCACCCTTTGGTCCTGAAGCTTGTTGGCAGGGCTCCGAGGGAATAAGGCCTCAGGTGAGGGGACACAGTGGCAGTGGTGTGTGCACGGCAGAGGAGAAGGCGCCTCCTGCCAGAGCACAGGGCAGGGCACAGTGAGGGCAGTGGCCTCCAGCTGAGGTCCACCCTCCTGCCACACAGCCTGGGAATCTGCTCCAGCCCCAGACAAGCCCTCCTGGGGTGCTGTGGGGCCCCCAGGGTACTGCTGGGGCCCACTGGCCACCTCTTCCACTCTGCTGTGGTCAGGGCTGGGCGGGCCCATCTTGATGCAGCCTGAGGAGTTGGGGGTGGGCAGCCACAGCCCATCTCCTCTGGAAAGCAGCAATAGTGAATCAGAGGGGCCTCTGCCCCAGCAGCACTGCCACCCCGACCACTCATGCGCAGCACGGGGACAAGCAACAGGTCACATAAGTGCTGGGAGCTTCCCAAAAGAAACTGGTACAAAACCAGGCAATGTGGTAGCCCACAGCTGCTGAAGCTAGGTATGGATAACAGGAGGTTGGCGCACAACTCCAGACACGCAGCTCTTGTTAAATAGGATAGATACTTCAGTGACCATGGGGCAGCTCACCGCATGTCCACCGCATGCTGACAGTCTGTTTCCTGGAAGCCACCTGAGGTGGCGGGTGGCACACGGTGCAGGTGTGCCTTCAGCAAGGGGCTGTGAGCACTGGGAGTTCCTGAGGGCAGATCTTCCTGTGGGAACAGCAGTGGCCAATGTGCAGGACTGAAGACATGGCAGCCACCACCAAGGAGGCCAGCTGCATAGGGAGGGCACAAACAGGAGACAGGATTTGGTGGTGACTTGGTGACGTCAGCGAGGAGGCCTCCTGAGAGGAGGGTCAAGGGCAGAGCTGGAAGGGCTTACTAACAAGATCCACTAAATTCCTAATGGTCCTTAAAAATTCCAGATGTAAAACTTCCATTAGCAAATTGTTGAAAATAGCATATATATCTGGTTTTATCAAAGAGAAAAAAAAATCTGGCAAATTTACCAGCTTCCAAAAAATCAATAGTAGAGAAACCAGGAAACAGGCCACAAGCCCTCCCTGGGCACAGCACCCTGGACACCTCGGCTCCCGGCTGCGCCGCGCCCAACACCGTTTACCAGTTGTCCAGAAAGTCGAAGCCCGTCTTCAGGATGACACTGGAGCCGGCCTGCAGAGACAGGAGCACAGTGAGACGCAGCCCCCGGACATGGGGCTAAAAACAGCACCTCATTTACAGTGGCCCAGATGCTGCTGCCTGCTTCCCTCTTGGGCTCTGACCTCGAATTGAGAACAGCACAGCAAGTCCAGTGCCAGTGCCCACCCCCCCCCGCCCTCGCACCTGCGCCCCACGCGGCTGTGCAGCACAGGTACGCAGAGCCAACCAGCATGACATGATCCTCTGCATCACTCGGCAAGAACAGAGACGCTTACACATACAGAGAGGATGGCAAGAACTCTGTGAAGGCCAGCGTGCGCGAGTGGGGTATGTGGAAGGTCATGGAGTGGGTCTCCAAGAGCAGGGACAATCCAGGGATGCGGCACTGCATGGGCGGCCCCTGGGCAAGCAGACCAGGCCCCCACTGTGCCGTGCTCAGGGCCAGTTCAGGCCAGCAGGGAGCTGCCTGCTGGGCAGTGACCCTGATGTGCTACGGCACACAGGAAAGGTTGGGCAAGGTCGGTGGCTTCCTGGACGTGTCTCAGGCCAGGTATGCTCACCTGAGATGCCATGGAGGGAGCAGTGTGGTCCATCCCCTCCCTTCCCTCCCGCCTCCTAGATGTGGTACACCACAGTTTGTGCCTTGGTCCCCGTCCCAGGTCCACAAGCTTCCAGGCCACTCATGGAGCCATCCTACTTTAGAGCCAACTGGTGGCATTTGGCACAAACACTTCCTGCAAAGCCCGCAGGACTGGAGACAGGGACCAGGTGGGGCAGGCTGAGAACAGCAGCCTGCAGAGGTGGCTGTGGAGCCGTGGGAGGGAGAAGATGCTGGAACCATGGGCTCCCCCTCCTCAAGAGGCGCAAAGGATCAGGGATTCCTCCAGGAAACCCAGAGTAACCAGAGACCACCTTGATCCAACAGCAAACCACAAACACCCAAGTAAAAAGTGAGCAAGGGAACTTAGTGTTCTTCAAGGAGACGGCCACCAAGCTCAGGAAATACACTCACACGTTAGTGGCCGGGATGAGAGCCGCATGCCAGTCAGGAAGGGCAGATGCAGAACCTCACAAGTGCTGGGGGAACAGTGGGACAGTGTATCCACCGTGGGAAAGAGCAGAGAGGCTCCTCAAAAACACTGATAGCGGGCTGGGGCCGCGGCTCAGTGGTAGAGCGCTCACCTAGCATGTGTGAGGCCCTGGGTTCAATCCTCAGCACCACATAAAAATAAACAAATAAAGATATTGTGTCCAACTGCAACTAAAATATTAAAAAAAAAATACCACTGATAGCCCAGGCAGTGCCCTCAGGAGGATGAGGCAGGAGCATCAAAATCTTGAAGCCAGCCTCAGAAATTTAACAAGACCCTAGCCAACTAGCAAGGCCCTGGGTCAGGAAAAAGAAAGGTCTGGGGATATGGCTCAGTAGCTGAGTGCCCCGGGTTCAATCCTTGGTACAGTCATTCTGCGTCTGGGAGGCACCCACAGAACAGGGGCTCAGAAAGATCTGCCCACCCATGTCACAACAGCAAAGGGAAGAAGCAAGCATTTGCCCACAAATGCCCGGCGACCAGAGCGGCAGGGCATTATTGGCCATGTCATTTGCTAAGTGAAGCAAGCCGGTCGCCTAGCCCGGCAGCTTCTCAATGCCAGCCCGCGTCTCCAGGGGTGTGGGGGCGTCATGGCAAGTCTGTCTGGTTGTGAGCTGGCCTAGGGCACTGAGGAAAGCACTGGTGCAGAGGAGGAGGGGCTTGCACGATGCTGACACTGCTTAGCGCCACTGAACCCTACACCCAGAAAGGGCAGGAATGACGTGCTCATGTCCTGTGTACTTCAGTGTGAGTTTTAAGTTTTAAAGATGTTTAAAACCAAAGGAAGTGTGACCGTCAGATGGCCACAGGGTCCCAAAGACCAGGAGGCCTGACTGCTAACAACCACACCCTGGGGCACACAGCAAAGCAGCTGGGGTGCAGTGGGCTTCTCCATGTGCCTGCGTCCTGACCAACAGGTACATCGGACAGCTGGTCGGCAGCCGCAGAGAAAAGGCCTGATCACGAAGAAGAGCGTGCAGGAGTGCTGACCTATTTGAGGACATTTCTCATCACCATAAGGTTCTATTGTACGGCCAGCACCAATGGGTGGACACTCCTGGGAGGCCAGGACCCTCGTTTCCTGCTCTGGCCATGCCCACCTGTTCCCGCCCTCCCTCAGGACTCTTCCAGTGAGGCTCTGCAGGTCACAGCCAGGGAGACATCACTATGCAGCACAGCACCAGGGGGTGAGCAGGGCCATCTCGAGGAGGGACGACAGAGCCCTGTTGGGTCCTCAGCCGCCCCGGTGCCCAGAGCCAGCTCCCAGACGCTCACAACACAGCGCTGTTTGTGAGACAATGCCCCAAAGCCAGCCTCCTCTGGAGAGAAAGGCTCCCCTGTTCCTGTGTCCTAGCTCCTTGCTTTTGTGAGCAACCCTCCAACACTAGTGCCATTTAGAGTTGCCACAAACGCTCCGTCTTCTCTTTGCTGTCTCCACTTTGTGACACCGACTGCCCGGGGAAGATGACAGGGGCCACTCCTACCAGGAGCCAGGGACACTCCAGCCATCAGCCACTCATCCCTCTCCAATACCAAGCACCTCACCCCGAGGGCTTAGCAGACCTGGCATCTGTCTATGCCCTGGAGAGCTCCTCTTCCATCCCTCCTCTGGACACCCCAGCCTGTGCTGCAGGCAGGAGGGCAGTGACCTTGGTCCCTATCCCAGGTCCACAAGCCTCCAGGCCACTCATGGAGCCTCCCTACTTGCTTCTCCCAGCCTCGAGATGCTGTTCCCAATGCCACAGGCCCCACGGCCTCCCAGCTTCCCCACACTGACCCTTCCTCCCAGACTCCCCTAGCCCCTCCCCACCTGTCCACACAGGGAGGGCTGGAGCCACACGGCCAGCAAACCAGTCAGGGTACCAGGCTGGGGTGGAGCCCACTGTGAAGGCAAGCGAGAGGGCAAGCAGGGCGAGGAAGGCCACGTGGATACCAGGCAGCCGTCCTGTGGGGTTCTGCTTGGCTGCCTCTGGAAGAGGCGCCTGGCCAGAAGAGGCCTTGGCACGGGCTGCCCACCTGTGCAGGCGTGGGCTCTGAACCCAGAGCGCTGTCCTCGTCCTGTGAGGTATCCAGGGACAGTGGCTTCCCCAAGGGCTCAGAGAGTTGGTCCTCGGGCAGCATGCCAGAGGTGGCTTGAGCAGGCGGGGGTCTCTCCCGGTCCACACTCACACTGGGAAGACCCCACTGCTCCTGCCGGTAACAGGCAGGCAGGACCTTCTCCCCCTTCTCCATGGACTTGATCTGGCTGGGGGTCAAAGACTGGAATCCGTCCTCAGGCCCCTCCCGGGATCTCTCTGCATTGATTTTCCAGAAGGGCGCCTCATCTTCCTTCCTGGCTGGACCCAGGGCGTCCAGGCTGGATGACCTACTGCCCTGGGTGGTCTTGAGGGCCTGTGGGCCCTGGGAGGCCTTGGGCAGTGGCCTCAGCTCACTGGTGGAAGCGCCGCTGCTTGGCTCCTGGATGCTCAAGGAGGAAAGGCTGAACTCCATCTGGCTCTGCAAAGAGAAGGAAGGAGGAAGCTCAGCGAGGAGCAGGCGGTCAGCTCCTCACCGCCCCCTGCTCTGGAGAGATGCTTCAGGAGCTGCTGGCTGTGCGCTGCCAGTGTCCTGAGTGGCTGTCTGCAGGACTGTGCTTGCATATCCAAGACACAGCCACCTCGAGGCACAGTCTTACTACGTCCGGCCCTGCCAGCAGCTCCAAGACCCCGAGTCTGAATCTGGCTGAGGACTGGGCTCCCTGCTGGGCCAGCAGTGCACAAGCCTCCTGTAGGCCCCGTGAGTTGCTGCCCATAGGTGAGGTCCCAGGAACATGAGGAGCAAGGATGCGGCCTGCAGAGGGCCAGGTTGAATATTGCCACCCAGCCTCCAATGGTGACTATAGGGGAGGAAGGGGCAGGGTAGGCACCAGCCACATCTGAGACCCAACCTCCCACTGACCAGAGCCACCTGGGACGTGCTGCTGAGCAGAGTTGACTGTGTTTCACTCCAGAGAAATGTTCAGTGGCCGCCACTCCAGGGGAGCCCACTGGAGGCCATCACGTCCCTAGCTCTGCAGAACAGGGCACCTGCTATCCCATCATTTCTGAAATCAATTCTGAAAATTCCCCTTGCCCCCATCTCCACTTCCTCGTACCTGCCCTTTCATAAGTAGGCAAGCCAGGCGCAGTGGCCCACACCTGTGATCCCAGCAACTCGGGAAGCTGAGGCAGGAGGATCACGAGTTTCAAAACCAGCCTCAGCAATTTAGCGAGGACCTAAGCAAGACCTTGTCTCAAAAAAAAAAAAAAGGCTGGGGATAGCGGTTCATTGTGGAGAGCCCCTGGGTTCAATCCCCAGTTCTGCAAAAGACTGAATAAATAAAGAAGCAATAAAACGATGTCACAGAGAGCAGGGAAAACAGAAGACTCCTTCGTAGCCCCTGCCCTCCCACACCTTTGGGCATGCTGCCCCTCTGTAACATGTGCTAGGAGGGGACTTCCCGCCTGTAGTTTCTCTCAGTCTTGGGCACCACCCACGCTGCCGTGCACCTGCCATTGCCCTCCATGCTGCCAGCTTTCCCTCCAGCTGCCTGCCACATAGTCAGCACTTCCCACTCAGACAACGCTTTCCTGCGTCCTCACCCCAGGAGTTGGGGGCCAGGGACACTGCATGCATGGCACTGTCCCCTCTTCTGGGCTGCCACGTTCGGAGAGGTTTCCAGAAGTGAAATACCAACACATAAAGGTGGTATAGTTCTGGACGCCAGCTGTCCATCTGCTTCCCAGGGAGCCCATCGCTCTGCCCCAGCCTCGTGTGGACACTGAGTGAGTCAAACCATCTGGCCAATTCAACCGCTCCTGGGTCTCCAAGATGCCACATGGGCTCCTGCATTTGGTAAATGTCCTCTTTGGCTCTCACATTCTTGCAGTCTCCCAGGACTTTCCCCATGGGCGGGACATGCTGCCAGAGCGAGGGGTACAGCAGGCCCTGAACAGACAGCAGCCCACTTCTCTGAACGGAGGTGCTCCTGCATCCCAGGCTGGGGGCCAGGAGTCACCCCTTGGGGCTCAGGACAGAAGACAAAGAGCTCACGTTCACACCACAAGGCAGGGTCCTGGGCGCTCGGTGTTGGAGGAATAGACCCGACACACAGCCATCAAAGCCAGCCCTGCAGGAGACATGGTCAAGAGCACGTGGACATCCCGAGCATGCCCTGGGCACACAGAGTACAGTTTTTTAAATTATTTTCATCCTATAAATGAGGAAATGGAGGTCTGGAATGACCCAATGCCCCAGGCCATGAGTCTATCAGGAGGATGTACGCTAGGACTTCAGCCTGACCCAGTGATCCCAAAGCCTGGATGCATGAACCCAAATTCAGAGGCCACCAGGTGCGGGGACAGCAGAGCTGGGTAGGACTCAACGGGACCTCTGCATGTCCATCTGCAGTGATGCAGCCCTTAATGGACGACTTCTGAATGAGACACTGAATACACTGCTCATTTCTGAATTTCACAGCAGAAAATGGGGACACCATGGGTGCGCAGATGACCTGCTTCAAACAGGTGGCCCAGCCCACAGAGACGGGGCACTGTGACAGGAAACTCTGTACAAAGGCTCTTCAAACCAAGTACCTTGTTGAACCGCAGGCTCTTTTGGGATCAGCAATTTCTCTGGCCCATGTAGGGCAAGGCCGAAGGGTCTGCAGACCTGGGTGCAGCAATGGGCTGAGCCAGGCCACTGTGGGCAGAGGCCAGTGGCAGCCATTCTGAGGACACGTCACTGTGGGGAAGAACCAAGCAGTGACAGGTTGCTCCTGGGGCTTCACGGGTCCCAGAGGCCTCAAGACAGAGGCCTTGGGACAGCCCTCCAGGAGGGCCTCACCTGGGCAGAGGCCAAACTGACCCGAGCAGCTGCCTAGTTTGGGGGCTTCAGAGGTGAACAGGAACACAGAGAGTCAGAAGAAAAGCTCTCACACACCTGCTTCTCCCGTATTCTTAATTCTGAAAACAAAGCATGTCTGCAATCCCCTTTAAATCATGCTGTGTGAGGGAGTCTCTGGCCCACTCCATACCCTGTGGGACCTGGGTTTGTTACCCAGAATTCCAAACATAACCTCCCATGTGGTCTGCGACCACCCAGCTCAGCAGCCCCAGGACCCACAGCAAGAACTCTGGCAAGGCCAAGGGGGTGGAGAGCCGCCCCTCCCAGCCCAGGATCCCCTGGGGGCCTGCTCATGGGGACACCCACAGCAGCCCTCACACCCAGGCAGGCAGTGTAGCCGTCAGCCAGGTGAACGCAGCCCCCCAGCCATCTCAGAGCAAGTCCCATGGGCTTTTGCTCTGTGACTCTGGGTGTGGGCGTGCCCTTCCCTCCCAGACCCAGGCCCATCCTGGGCTGCCATCTTAGTGCCTCCCAGAGCCGACCAAGGAGCCGAGGCAACTCGCCCTCTCCAGTCCAGACCCAGCTGCTCCTCCTCAGGAGGCTGTATACCCCACAGCACCCTACCCTGTCCCTGCATGGCCCTGATCGCCCTCCCCTCCCCACTCCTATGGTCACCAAGCCAGCTTGGGGCAACAGGCACCACCCCCAGGGGACCAGAGTGAGGCCTGAGAGGAGCCAGGGCCTGATGGGGATCCGTGGGGATCTGGGGGCTGTCCCACAACTTGGGGTCCGAGGGGGAGGTTGGCTGACCTCAGACCAAGCACACCTGTGAAGAACAGCCCAGGTAGCAGCTTAGTGAGAACCTATTGTGTGCCAGGCACAGGTAGAGCCTCCAGACACACTGACTCACACGGAGGGAGCAGGACCACCACTCTAACTCACTTAAGTAGGGCTGGAGCAACAGCCCCTCACTCATCTGAGGACCCACAGGCCCCTGGCAAGCGCAAGGCTGGGAGAGGAGGTGGGAAATGGGAAGACCGTGAAGCCACAGACAAGTTCTTCATCTCTGGAAAAAGTCCCTTTCCAGACAAAGAAAAAGAGCTGGGCTCTGGGGAAAGGAGGTCATGACGGCCTCTTCCAGCATGGGCAACACTGCATGGAAAACGGCAGGAGCTGGCGGCCAGTGGACACCACTGGTCAATGGCACCTGCTACAGGCAGAGCAGGGTGGGACTCAACACAGTGGTCCTCTGTTACCTCCACACAGGGAGATGGGAGAGTGAACAGGAGGCCCCTCCACTCTTAGCCCACCTTCCACACCCTGAGGAGTCTGGCCAAGCTGGGCAGGGCGGCAGTCAGCCCATGTGGGGACCAGGGCTCAGCAGGCCACGTCCCTTCTAAAAACAGCGAGGGCACAACAGAGCGCTGTGTCTATTTTTACATCCCACTCACTGGAGAGGAATGCATGATATTCCAGCAAGGGGTGTGCCCACTGCCAAAACTAACTAGTGGGCTTGGCAGCCTCCGACAGGCCTCGCTCATAGGGACAAAGTTACAGGGGTACGGCTGGACAGTATCACAGCACTGGACAGATCCTATAACCTCACTGAGCTGTTATTCTTCCTACCTCCTCTCTACATAGGAAGGACGGGAGGAACAGGAGGCACATAGGAAAACCTTCAGAATCACAGCCCAACAGGGACAGGCCAGCAAGGCCAGACCCAGGCGGGCAGGGACTGGCAGGGTCCAGGTGTAAATACCATATGCCTGTGTATTTACCAGGCAAAGGGCACAGGCTTCTGGGGTGTGTGGAAGCGGGTGCAAGAGGGCAGAAGAGGCCCTCACTGGGGGCCACACAGCTCTGCTAAACTTGGGGCACAGTGTGCCCACCTGGGGGCTGAGCCTCACGGGGACAGAGGCACATCAGCCCTGGCCTCCCTCCTGGGCACTTCCTGGGGTAACAGGAGGAGGGGCAGCGGGGGCCACAGTAGGTGGGCACACAGCCCTGGAGGAGCACTGCCTGTCCTTGTCCATGGGCCTTGGGCACGCACCCACAGGGCTCAACAGGCAGAGCAGGGTGGGACTCTGAGAGTCAGCACAGGTGATGGACGGCAGGGGAGCCCCAGCACGGCGACCAGGATCAAGATTTGGGCAGCACTGGGGGCAGGTAAGGAGGAACTGGCCTACAGGAGGGCAGCACAGGCTGAGGGCTGCAGGACAGACCAGTGGTTTCTGGGGCTAGAGGGCAGGTGGAACCACTGGGGCCAGGAAGCCTGGGGAGAGGTCGCAGGCTGGGAGCTGGGAGCTGGGAGCTGGGAGCTGGGAGCTGGGAGCTGGGAGCTGGGAGCTCGGCCCTGGCCTCAGGAAGGGATTAGGGAGAGCCCAGAGGGAAGGAGGGAGGGACAGGCAGAGGAGAGGACTGTAGGGCAGAGATGGGAACTGTTGGTGAAAAAGGTCACACCACAGGGGGTGGGGTGGGGTGTGCAGCCAAACAAAGCCACCACCTGTGCAAGATCACCTCTCCTATTGAAGCTGACCCTGCAACAGGACACAGGCTCCTCTGCCAGCTTGTGTGGGAACCTCATAGGCGCAAGCCAGTCCCAGCTGTGGCCCTCTTCCATACCCACCCTTCCATACACAGCTAACTGTATAGACCATCCCTGAGCCCTTCCTGTCAGAGCGAGGGGCAGAGGCTTGTTAGGGACAAACTCTGGGGGACTGCCCACCCAGGTGTGCCTGCTCACGGGTTGCCTTTGGGGACATCTTCTGCAGAAGTACAACTTCTGAGTATGTGTGGCACCTGGGTATTCCTGACCCCTGAAAGCAAGGGAACCTGCTCTCTGGAGGGAAGGCCCCCTCCCCGCCAGCAGCAGATGGCACAAGCCTCAGACAGACCCTGTCTGCCTCCCCTAAACTGTGGCGCTAACTGCGGCAGGAACAGGTGACTGAACCCAGCCTACACATCCCTGTGCTGGGGCACATCATGGAGGACATGAGCCTGCAGCCCCACGGAGACCCTGGAAGGCTTCCCTACTCTGGATGCCCTAACTGGCCCTCAGAATGAAGGAATGGATCCCCACCCAGCCCGCTTACCACTCCCAGAAAGAGAGCTGAGCACCCAGGCAGACACAAAGAAGCCAGGCAGCCTGGGTGAGCTGAGGGACCTGGGGCTAGCTCTGCCTGCCCAGCCCCCGAAGGCATCTCCAGACCCTCCAGGCCAGACGGCCTGGGAATGCAAGGAATCCCCTGCACTGGGGCCTCCTCCAGGAGCACTGGGCGCTGTTTTTTTTTCCCTCTTGAAACTTCAGTAGCATGAGAGAGGAATGCACGGGTGGGGTGCCGCCCCAGCCCTCCGCCAGGCCAGGCCGATGGACGGGAGGAAAAGATGACCCTTCCAGGGGGCCGTGGGGCTGAGAGGAGCTGGGGACTTGCTGTTTAAAGGGCAGTGTCGGCTGTGCAAGGTGGAGAGCTCTGGGGATGTCCACTAGCTCAACTCACTCCACAAGGCACAGGACCCCACGCTGCACCCCACAACACATGCAGTTTACAATAAGACGTCCCAGAGGTGGACGGCGGGGTGGCTGCTCACCTAGCAGGCTGATGGCTGGGGAGAGCTCTGCATAGCCCAGGTCAGCGGCCGCTGCGCCCTAGGATGTCTGTCATTCTGGGCAATGAAGGTGGCTGTCCCCCGGATGACTCCAGGACACACAGCGGAGGACTCCACAGGACCACGAGGCCTTGGCCAGCACCTCTAGATGCTTGGCCTCGTCTGCCTCACCCTGTGGTGTCACCAGACCGAGGGCCCAGAATGGCTTCCCCTGCAGATGCTTCTGCCACTCTGGTGGCCACAGAAGAGGAAGAAGGGGGCCTGGCTGAGTACCTGGGTGAGGAAGGGCTGCCTGGCCACCCGGCCTGCTCTGTGGCCTCGGGAGGCAGGTCCATGTGGGTGGCAGCTACTGTCATTCCAGGCTGCTCCCTGATACCCAGCCCAAATCTGGTCACCCTCCACCAGTGCCCAGTCCCTACGCAGGCTCTGGCTCCCATCAGACTGCTCCTACTCCTTGCCCTCTGCACAGACCTACGTTCCGCACTACTCTGCAATGAAATTTTGAAAAAGATGCGCAGGGTGCAGATGCCAGCAACTTTAGGATGCTTGGGGCCTGGTACGGTAGTATCAATGGCATAGGGAATCTATACTTTCCAAATGAACATGCTCCAGTGAGTGCATGTCATACAACCCCGAAACCTATCTCTAAGGTTTAAAAATAATCTCAGTTGGCTGGACACCATGGCGCATACCTATAATCCCAGCAACTCAGGAGGCTGAGGCAGGAGGATCCCAACTTTGAGGCCAGCCTCAGCAACTTAGTAAAACTCTATCTCAAAATTTAAAAAGTAAAGGGCTGGGGATGTGACTCAGTGCAAACCCACCTCAGCGGCACCCAGCTTGCACGGTCTGGTCAGCCAGCATTTGTAGCAGTCAGCAGCTGCTCACTAAACACTGACCAGTGTACTGCCAGCTCCCTAGCACCTGGGGAAATGCTTCATTTCAGGACAGTTCCCAGCAGAAGCCTCGCAGTCTGCTCGAGGACTCCTCATTCCTTTCTCCCCACCTATTCTCCCAGCTGTTCCTGGATGCCAGGGCAAGGCTCTGATCAGAAGCTGTGGGGACAAGTGACACAGGCCCCTTGAAGTAGCAGCACTTGAAAACCCTAATATGAGCTGGGACCTGCCCAGGCCCAGCCACCTCTGCTCATACATGCTGCTGTGGCCACTACCTGCTGGCACACAGCCAAGTCCTGTCTGCCGCTTCTTTTCCTGGCATGAAGGCAGTTCCCATAATCATTGTACCCCTGTCCCTCCGGGGCAGCGAGACAGCTGAAGGCAAGGCACAGAGACTATCTGGACCCCTGCTCCTGAGCTACTCTGACAATGGAGACCCCGGTGCCTGGAGGCCAGGCCCCTTCCCACACTGGGTTCTATCAGCCACGCACCAACTGGCTAAGTTCACCCCACCACGGGTTCAAAGCTATGTCACTAGCCCCCCACTGTGGTGCCAAGTGCTGGTGGGCAGAGAGATGGGCAGAGAAGGGCCCCCACAGGGCAACCCGAGCCTGGGCATCAGGGGTATCACAAGGCCTCGTGGGCTCAGGCTGTCAGACCGACTACCACTCTGCCACTGCACACATGTCCGACTTCCCACAACCCCTCCTCCCTACCACAATGGGCTGCCGCCTGCAGCCGGCGTGGGCCCCGCTACCCCTGTCCATCCAAGGTTGCAGAAAAAGGTAAACTTACTCAGTTCTGCTTCAAGGGACCGATCTAAGTTTAGCCAACTTACCCGAGTTTCCCAGGAGAAAGGAGCAGAGTGCTCGTCCTGCCAGGTGATGTCCTGGAACAGAAATTTAAGAATGAATTGAGACCTGGGCCACCCCTGTACAAACGCTACCCAGGACTCTGGGAGCTGGGACAGGCACAACCCAGGCACAGCCCCACTCTACTGAGCAGCCCAGGTCTCCAGCCTGCCCTGGAGGGTGAAGCCCCTCCCTGGGGCTCCTCCCTCACCTTTCCCACCCGGGCTGCCACACCTCCAAACGCTGAGCCACTTCCAGGAGCAGGGAAGCTGGCTGGGAAAGGAGCTGGCCCTTCAGTCTCGGCTACCAGCACGGAGCTGCCTACTCATGGACCATGCCTTAGACTGCCCAGCCTCAGTTTCCTCCAGTGAAGGAAGAATCGCACCCCCGTTAACCGACCTACGGAAATCATGCCAGGCACAACCTGCTAGCAGCACCAGCACAGTGGGGCTCCCTTCTCCCTGAGGGCCAGCAGAGAAGGCAGGCCAGGGTCAGAAGGAAGTGGAGAACGCCCTGAGACGCAAGGCTTCCTTCCAAGGTCTCTGGCACCACTCCCAGGCCTCACAAGCAGGAAGAGCCCCCGGGCAGTCCCTGGGATCTGGCCTTGGGGCCAAGGACAGGGGGGACAGGGCAGATCCTTGGGATCTGACCTTGGACCTGCAGGTTTTGTCCACTGGCCTGAATCCACAGCTAGGCGGGGCACCTGGGCTCCCCTCTGCTCCCTGCAGCATTCCTGAGCTAACAAAGGCCTTATCTGCACCCTGCTATTTAGGGCCCCAGGTTCTGGACCAATGTGGGTCACCACGGTTGACACAGACTGAAAACAGGTTAAGGAATTTTAATTGAAACTGGTATTAAAATTATATCCATATCTCACCACCCCAAAAAAACCCAAGTAACTATGTCTTTCCATGAAGAACCCAGTGTATTCTGTCTCCTTCCACGCAGAGCAGTCCTACGCTGCCACCAGGGACCTGCCCCCCCTCCGTGGTCCTGCCAAGGCCCTCCACTCAGCCTCCAGCAGAGCCCACCACATCCCAGCCTGGCCTCCCGCATGGCAGGGACTGGGGCAAACCCCAGGGCCCACAGGCAGAGCCTTCAACACAGCCACTATGCCATGCCCAGCTGGGTCCCTGCAGCTAGCCTTCTCTGAGATGAACGGCGCAGGGTCCACTGCTGAACTGCAATGATGAAGGCTCTGCTGGGCCTGAGCAATAGAAGGTCTGCTCTCCTAGAAGCAGCAGGGGGAGCCGTGATGGTCCCCGGGCCCCACCTGTGGCTAGCACTGGGCCTCCCAGGATCACAAAGGCTGTTCCTCCCGTAGCCCCAGTGCTTGCCCAATGGGGTCCACACCCAGTGATGCTAGCTCTGGTCAAGCCACAGCCTCCCACATCTCATCCCAATGTGGGACATAGAGCCCAGCTCTTCTTGCCTCTGGCCTAGGAGTGACATGTCCCCTGCACTAGGCCCCTCTGTGGACCCTGGGGACAAGGGCAAGGAGGAGCTATGGGGAGATTCCACATTCAGGCCTTTAGCCAGCCACAAGTATGCCAGGACAAGGATCGCACAGCCACGAGCACAAGCTCTGGCCCAGGCGCAAGCCGTGAGAACCAGACCCCAGCAGCAGGAGTGCACCTGAGGCCTGACCCATTAGAGCCCAGGGCAGGTCCCCACAGTGGAGTGTCACCACACGTAGCACATTCGGGGGTGGTTCTGGCTTCAGAGCTGGCTTGCGCTGTCTGTTTGCCTCCTGGCCACCAGCAAAGACTTTCAAGATGAGAAGAACAGGGTCACTGCCATCCCCTTTGGAATTTCAGCTCAACCCAAACTGCTTCCCAGTGCCCTGCTGCTTCTCCAAACATGCCAATGGCAATCTGGAGGGATGTGTGCTGCCACACCCTGGAACAGAGGCTCCAGGCAGAGTCCAGGGCCAGCCTGCCTCTGAGTTCCTTCCACGTCTCTGGGTGCCTGTCGAGGGAGGGGATCATGCGTTAAATGATCTGAAAGTCTCTGAAATTCTGTGCTGTTGCGACCCTGCAATCCTCTTAGAAGTAACAGCATAACAAGATCTTTGTTCTTAGGGAGAGACAGAGAGCCCTGATGCCTTGCCTTCTGGACGTCACCCTGGGGACGGCACAGGAACCATCTAAACAAAGCCTTTTGCACTGGGCCGCCAGCCTCACTGCCTCCAAGAACAGAAGCATGTGGGGTGTACAGGGTGGAGGCAACGCGGGACCACCAGCACAGGACGGTGCATGTGGGAGCTGGACTCTCACAAGTCACGTAACTCAAGTCCCTTGAGACTTAGAAAGATTAGACCAGGAAGGCTTTTGGTTCTGGAATGTGACTGATCCCTGGGGAGCACAGGGTCAGCCTCGGAGCTTGGGAGGTCAGGTCCCAGTGGTCGCAGACCAGGCCAGGTGAAATTCCATGGGGGTCACAGACGGAGACATGTCATGCTGAGATTTTTCCCCAGCTTGGTGTCAGTAGTATTTTGTTTGCTCCAGCAAGAAACTAAGTCAAGGGGCAGATTCCTTGGATTTTTGCAATTCTGAGTCCATAAAAGAAAACAGTAAAGAACTTAACAAAAATAAATTCACCAAACAAAAATGTGACAGGGGCTGTGACGTCAGCCACCAGCTGCACACTCCAGCCACAGGAGCGCCGGCGGGAGGAATGGGCTCCCAGGCTCCACGTGAATATGGCGCCCACTCCCAAAGGAACAGCACCCATCATATGTCCACCCTCACGTGCACATGTGTGTGCTCTCACAGACACACACTCCGACACATACCACAGCGCAATGCTGACCCTTGTCCTGTGCTCCTCACGTTCTTACTTCCAATGGATACCTAACAATAATGACCTGTCACTGTGGTGCAGTCCACATCCCCCCCGGGCTGCTCAGGGACGTACCCTGGGCCCCAGGGCTGACACTGCACTGAGGGACATCTGCTACTCAGACCACGGACAAGATCCGTGGGCTTCGCTCTGGAAAGCGTCATCCTCAGAGTCCAATTCCTCTCTGTGAAAGACGTCCACTCCACAGGCCAACTCAGCCCAGAGGCATGCTCAGGTCACCAAACTCCAAGGGGGAAAACAAACAACAGCCACAGGCTCACCCATCCTGCAAGAGCTGATCATGAGGCACTTCTCCTTCCTGTGGTTCTGCACAGCCGTCATTAAAGGCTGAGCCATCCACACTCACAGCTGAACACATTAAGACAGAGGTGAGATGCTCCACGCCCGTGAGGGTGGCCACTATCGCAAAACGGGAAACAGCGAACCCCAGCAGGCCCATGAAGCCTGGGGCTCTGCCGGAGCAGAGGAACAGCGCCCTGGAGATGAAACAGGATGGCGTCCTGCAGGAGATGACCTTTCTGTCCCACTGTCCCAGAGGTGGCACACCACAAAACTTAAATACAGTGTATGATGTGGAACGATGCAATAATCACGTTGTAACAAGCATAACACCACCTAACCTCTGGAGGACAACATCAGCCTATCTCAACATGCCTGTGTCGACCAGAAACGTGGACCTCATGGGACACAGAGTGAGCAATTCACCCAGCAATTCCATCCCAAGGTGTGTGCCCCCAAAGAGCTGAAAGCAGGGGCTCACACGGGCAATTCCACACCATGGTCACAGCTGCAGGATTGACCGGCATGGTCCCTCGGTGCAGCAGCACAGTGTTCAGTCTGAGAAAGGGAGGAAATGCTGGTGCACACTCCAAGGTGGATGGATCCTGAGGACACTGAGCCCAGAGGAGAGCCAGGCAAGAGGCGGACACCGCAGCACTACTTCATGAGACAGCAGCAGGAAAGCAGAGGCAGAGCCAGCTTCTAGGGGCAGGGGATGAGCTCTTGCTGCCTAAGGCGCTCAGGGCTTTGTTCTTTACAGGGCGCAGAGTTCCATCATAAAATGGCAACCTCTGGAAATGGGTGGCAGTGATGGCCACGGGCACTGAGCACACAGGCCCCTGCACACCCAAGAATGGTTAAAGTCACAGCTGAAGGTTGTGTGCTTCGTCAGAATAAGGCCATGGGAAGACCTGAAGGGATTTTAAGAACCAGTGGCCATGGGAGAGGAGCCTTTGAAAAGCCTGCCTGGCTCCACTGACCACATCCTGGGGAGACAGTGTGTGTGGGGGTGCCAGAAAGGTCAGCAGCTGTCGGGGCTGGGGACAGGCGGGTACAGAGGGCCTGGGACAGCGAGCCCAGCACACATGACCCTAAAACACAGCCCTGTGGTGAGCGGGACATGGGGAGACGCTGACCACGTCCTGCAGGTTCTCTGATGAGCGCAGCAGGCTAATTGGGGAGGCTAATGATGGAGAAGGCACGTCTGCTCCAGGGGGTCTGGGCGGAAGGCTGTGTGCTCATTTCTGCTGGGAAACTAAAACTGGACTGAAAAACAGTCTAACTTTTAAAGGTGTTTCTCCTCCATAAAGGGCTATGCTCAGGCTCTTGTTTCCCAGGTATGTCAGCACACGGTGCCACCATCTGCTCTTGAGCCTGCTGTGCCTCTGGCTCCTGCAAGCTGCCTCACAGTACTGCTGTGCAGACTCTGCCACAGCTGCTGACGTGCAAAGGGCCTATGCCAGACACCAGGGTCGGCCCTGCCTCTCTCAGAGCCAGGTGTCAAACATCTACCCGCACACCATAGCTGCACCCAGCAGCAAACGACTGAAGTCCATCACAGGCTATGGTGAATGTGATTTCTGCTATTAAAATTGAAAATGACTCCGGTAATATTGCTTTTGAGATTATCTAGCTACACTCAATTAGAGTTGGTTGTGATTTCTCTGTAAAAGTCATGACTGTTGCAAAATTATTCTAGAATGGGAAACTCTAGACTTCAAATTCATTTCAAATGTGGTGAAATTTTATAAATATTAACATTTCCTCTAATTGAAGTTAATGAGAAACCATTATGCATTTAGTCTTTGGTAATGTTCTCTCTGATTTTAGGACCAGTATGTCTGGGCTTCCAACTTGTAGAATGGACAAGTCCCCCAGGCCCCCTGCTCAAGCTGCT